TTATGTTTCTTTTTCATACATTCATTATTCCTACTACTTCTTTCTTTCTTTCTTTCTTTTTTCTTCATTTTTCATTCATTTTTTCTTTCATGCTTTATTTCGTTCTTTCATTCTTTCTTTCTTTCCATCTTGTACTGTTTTCTTTCTTCCTTTCTTTCTCATTTCTGTGTTATGTTTCTTTTTCATATATTCATTATTTCTACTATTAATACTACTTCTTTCTTTCTTTAATTCTTGCTTTCCTTCCTTTCTTTTTCTTTCATTTTTCTTTCATTCATGCTTTCTTTCATTCTTTCTTCGATTCTGTCCTTCATCTTGTACTGTTTTCCTTCTTTTTGTCTCATTTCTACCTTTTTCTTTCGTATGTGTCGTTTTCATACATTCATTCCTCCTACTACTACTATTACTATATTCTTTCTTTATTTCATTCTTTCTTTATTTCTTTTATTCTTTTTTTCAGTCATTTTCCTGTCATTCTTTCTTTATTTCTTTCATTTTATTATTTAGCTAGTTATTTCATTCTTTCTTTATTTCTTTTATTCGTTCTTTCTTAAATTCCTTCTTTTTTCAATCATCAATCTTTTTTTCTCTTTTTATTCCTTCTTTCATTCTCCTTCATTTTACGCCTACACTTTCAACATTCCTTTCTTCATATTATTATTCTTACCGTTGAATACATTTTTTTTCCTTTTACTTCGTCCCCTTTCCGTAAACAATTTGTTTTTTGTTGTTGTTGCTTTTTTTTCTATCGTATCTTCCAGGGTCTACAGCCTGCGATAAATGGTATGCATCTGCTCCAATTCTAATTCAAAATCTTTCTACAAAAATAAACAGTAACTGTTAACGCGATCGAATACTTTGGCCATCTTAAACATCTAAATCCGCAAAATACGCGATGCCTTTCTTCAAATTAGTTGTATTGATTCATTTCGACGCCATTTTGGAACCAGATGCAGTTTCAGAAAGCAAAGAAGAAATGTTTTTAACAGCTTTTTTTAATGACAGAAATTTAACGGAAGAAAAAGAAAAGACAACGAAAAGCAGATATATTATTTTTAAATTGTTGGTTAAATTTGAGGACATCCCACCTATCAGGAAATGTTAAAATAAAAATTATTATGTCCTACTGATGAAAAAGAACTTGTCGTTAGAAAACGATTTTCGAATGGCTGTGCATTTTAGTTGTTTAAACGGTTAAAAATCAAACAAAAAATTTGGGATCGCTTACAAAATTTACACGCATTATCGATAACATGGAGTTTTAACATTTTCCCTTTCACCAAAACACATTTAATTTCTTCTTCTTGATATCATCTTTTATTTGTTTTTTTTTTCTTTCCTTTAATTTATTCTTTTTCACTTTCTCTTTTTCTTCTTTTCTATTCTCCTTCTCATATCCCTTTCATTGATTTTTAATCTATTTTCTTTTCTTTTCTTTTTTATTTTCGCTTATTTTTTGTTTTCTCCTTCATTTTTTTCTTGTTTATTTTTAATGATTTTTTTTCTTTTTCGCTTTCTTATTTTTTAATAATTTTCGTTCTTTTCTTTTTTTACTCACTTCTTTTTTTTTAACACAACGTTTCGGCCGTTGTACGCTCCGGCCTTCTTCAGATGTTTGGAATTTCGAACTGAACCCTTTATTTCGCTCACTGGGGTAGACTGTTCGAGTTCCACGTGCCATGTTTGATGGATGTCAGTTATCAGTTATCTCCTGCTAATTTCCCTCTGAAAGTTCTCCACTGCCTTAACCAGGTATTGAACTCACACTCTTTGGCTCCTGTCACTGGATCTAACCAACGCCTTTATCCACTATGCTATGTGTCCTTGAGCTCATCTGGGGACATCTCAGAAATATAGACAGACTCAGATATTTATTTATTTAATTTTTATTTAAGTGTTTTCTTTTATTTTTTTAAACTGTTATGGCCATGTATATCATCTTGGTAACAAAGAAAAGAGTACTGAGCTGCTACGTGACATCTGAGGACACATGGCACAGTCTAGAACAGTCTACCCCAAAACTAGAACAGTCTACCCCAGTGAGCGAAATAAAGGGTTCAGTTCGAAATTCCAAACACCTGAAGAAGGCCGGAGCGTATAACGGCCGAAAGGTTGTAATAAATATGGCGACAAAGATGAGGACAATAGTCCGAATAATGTAAATAATGTACATAATACTTCATCTCAGAAATATAGACAGATACTGAAAGGCCGAAACGTTGTAATAAATATGGCGACAAAGATGAGGACAATAGTCCGAATAATGTAAATAGTGTATATCATACATCATCTCAGAAATATAGACAGATTCTTTTTTTAATTATTTTCTTTTCTCTCTTATTCTCTTTTTTAATATTTTCTTTTCATTCTTTTCTTTTTAACCTCTTCTTTTTTGTTGATTTTATTTTTTCTCTTTTTAATCTCTCATTTTATAATTCTTTTCTTTTTTAATAATTTTCATTCTTTTTTATTTTTACTGTCTTCTTTATATTCCTTTTTTTTATTTTCATTTCGTTTCTTTTTCATTTTTCTTACTTTTTCTTTTGATTTTCTTCTTCATCTCAACTTTTTCATTTTTTTATTTTCTTTATCTTCTTTTTCACCTTCTCTTTTCTTTTCTATATTTCATTTCTTTTTTTTTCTCTTCACCTACGCTATTTTATTTTATTTTTAATTACTTCATGTTATTCGTCTTTTTTCTTCTTCCTCATCTTTTTACTTATTCCCCGTTTTTTTTTTACATCTTCCACGTCAAATTTTCTTCTTCCTCGTCCTTTTTCTTCTTCTTCATCATCATCTTATTTCTTCTTCCCCATCTTTTTTTTCTTTTCTTTTTTTCATATTTACCATCATTTTTTCGTCTTCCACATCGATTTTTCTTCTTCCACTTCTTTCTTCTTCTTCCTCAATTTTTTCTTCCTCCCCGTTTTTTTCTTCTTCATCTTCTTTTTTTATTTATTTTAGTTGTTATTTCCTTTTTTTTCCTTCTTTTAAGCATTTTCAATTTTATATAGCTTTTATTTTTATTTCAGCTTTCTTTTTTTTATTTTTCTCCTTTTTATTTTTTATTTATTATTTTCATCTTTTTCACATTCACTTTCTTATTTTTCATTCTCTTCTTCCTTCTTCACTTCTTAGTCTTATTTTTATGCATTTTATTCTCTTTTTCTTCCATTTCCCTCTTATTTATTTGCCTTCTTTATTCTTCACCTTCTTTTTCTTCTTCATTTATTTATCTTCTTCTTCGCCTTCTCTTATTCGATTATTCCTTTATTTTATTTTTTCTTTCTTTAATTTTCTTTCCTTTTTCCTCTCCCATTGTCTTTTCTCTTTTTCTCTTTCTTTTCTTTTTTTTTTTGTATATCAGTCATTGAAGTCATTGGACGATCATGTATCTTTCGATACATGACTGACGAGGCAGATTTTTTCCCGCAGTAGGTTGCCATTTGTTTCTGTGGTAGACTGGTTGCCAACCAAGTCTAAAGAACCCAGTGAGTCATGCTATTCAACCCATAGCTGGGAGAATTGATGGATTCATACTTTTCCCAAGGGTATTTGTTCGTAAGTGAATCTAACGAACTCGAATGGAATTCGAACTCGGCTCTCAGATTTCTCACTCCGAGTCGATATCATTTTTGTATATACTTTTCTTTTTTTCTTCATTTTCGTGTCTCTTAATTGACTTCAATTTCTCTTTTTTTTTATAATCTCGATTCTTTTTTCTTTTCTACCTTTCTTTCTTTCTTTCTTTCTTTCTTCATCTTTTTCTTATTTTTTATTCCATGTTTCTTCTTCCCGTTCTTTTACTGTTATTATTTCGTTTTTTTCTCCTTCTTCTTCTTCTTCTTCTTCTTCTTCATTTTATTCTTCTTCTTCATTTTATTCTTATTCGCCTTCTCTTCCTTTCATTTCATCACCAAGCGCGCCCTGAACATCCACCTATTGTGATGAACGGATGTTCTGTCAGGGAGGCCCCATGACTTGACCGCCTACAGAAACTTAACCTCAAGCTAGAACTCAACAAGCACTCGGACAAGCACTCGTACATACGATCCATCGCTAAAAATACCGAAAAAAAAATAATGGGCGGTTCCCTGTAGCGTTCCAGCAAGTACCTGACTTCTGCTATCCTCTACCTTTACAAGAGCCAGATCAGGCCGTGAATGAAGTACCCTTGCCATATATGGACAGGAACTGTCATGTCTTCACGTTCCATTCTCGAAAAGCCTCTCCGCATCTTTATGGGTGACGAATTACTTTCCACCCTAGAACCCCTTTCCTCACAGACGAAATGTCGCAAGCCTCTCGCTGCTGTAGCGTTATTTCAGATGAACTTACACTCCTTAGATTCACCAGTCCTAACCTTCATGACTAAGACCGTCATGCCACGCCCATTGTAATGAACCACCCTCGTTTCTTTTCGCACTCCACAGGTGAAATATAAATTCTACTCAAACAGCTTCTTCTTGTTCTGCTATCCATTCACACAAACTGGCGGAGTAATTCACTCGATCTTTCCCATTGCTTCTCTTGCTTTTATTAGGTCCTGTGAGTGTTAAGTTCGCTGGGTCGTCTTTCTTCCTTATTCGTCACGGTAATTTCAACAAACTACATTTCTTAGTTCCACCAGTTCTAACAATCACGGCTAAGATCTTCCATGCCACGCAGATTGTAGCTAGACACCTTCATATTTCCCTGGGGACATGTATGTTCCACTCGAGCAGCTGCTTTACGAAACCCACTCCAAAGAGGATCATTACATGTTCAAGTCTAGGCTTAACCTATTCAAATCTCCCTCCTCCCCATATATCCGGATAAACTTTGCCTCTTATTCTGTAACGCTTTATCTCGAGTGGCTATCGAGCCTTGTACAGGATGGCTATTATTATAAAATTGTTTTATTCTACTTTTCTTTTATTTGTCGTCTTCTTCATCTTCTCACCTGTTCTTCGCCGTTTTTATCTTTTTTTTTCCTTTTCTTTTTCTGTTCTTCTGCCTTTTCCATTATTTCTTACTTTTTTCTTCCTTTCTTTTTCTTCCTTTTTTTCACATTTTCTTCACATTGTTTTTTTCACATTGTTTTTTCACATTGTTTTCTTCCTTTTTTTTCTTCCTTTTTTCTTCCTTTTTTTCTTCCTTTTTTTACATTGTTTTCTTCCTTTTTTCTTCCTTTTTTCTTCCTTTTTTTCTTCCTTTTTTTACATTGTTTTCTTCCTTTTTTCTTCCTTTTTTCTTCCTTTTTTCTTCCTTTTTTCACATTGTTTTCTTCACATTGTTTTTTTCACATTGTTTTCTTCCTTTTTTCTTCATTTTTTCACATTGTTTTCTTCACATTGTTTTTTTCACATTGTTTTCTTCCTTTTTTCTTCATTTTTTTCTTCCTTTTTTCACATTGTTTTCTTCACATTGTTTTTTTCCTTTTTTTCTTCCTTTCTTTTTCTTCCTTTTTTTTAACATTGTTTTTTTCACATTGTTTTCTTCCTTTTTTTTCTTTATCGTTTTACTTTGCCCCCGTTGTTTTGTTGTTTTTTTTTTATCATTTCATCCCATGTAAACATTAAAGCCACCATGATAGTGATTTTCCAAGCGTAGCTTAGATGTGGCACAAGGCCGAATATAGGGGAAAGCCACAATGATACAAGGGGTTTACTGAATGTAAAAGAATAAGAAAAAAGAGAGAAACATTATTAAGGAGCGAGAACAATAGAAGAGTAAGGAAGAAGACAGTAGATTCAGGTTGATATTGAATTTGAATTTTTGAAGATAAAATTTGACTGGTAAGCATGGAGCCGGAAAATAGTTCCACGAGCAAGAAAAGAAACAGCTAACATAGAACTTCCGGTTACATCTAACCAGCTCAAATGTAAATTATGAGACCTTGTTGCCAATGTAGTACTGCGGTTAAATTGCATGTCTATGTACCATACAATTATTTCATTACCATGGAAGTATTTATTTCTCCATTTCATATCTGGCCTTCCTCTCACTCTCTCTTTCGCTCTCTCTCTCTCTCTCTTCGATCTCTCATTCTTTCTCTTTCAATCTCTCTCTCTCTTTCGATCTCTCTCTTTCGATCTCTCACTCTTTCTCTTTCAATCTCTCTCTCTCTTTCTATCTCTCTCTCTTTCGATCTCTCTCTCTCTCTCTCTCTCTCTCTCTCTCTCTCTCTCTCTCTCTCTTGTTTTTCTGTTGATTCTCCATTATTCACTCTTCTCACTTTCCGAGTTTCTTTTTCTTTTATTTCTTCTTTTTCTTCCTCTTCCTAAACTCATTCTTCTCACACTCTCTCTATCAATCTCTCTCCCCCTCTCCCCCTATCCCCTCTATCTCCCTCCCTCTCCCTCCTCCCTTCTCTCTCTCTCTTCTCTCTCTCTCTCACTTTTCCACCCAAATTTTCCCTTCCCCCGTTATGCTTTCACGACCTCTTTTCTAAACTCACTGCACCCTCTGCACCTTCCACTATTTCTCTTTCTTCTTTCCTATCTCTTCTTTTCTTCGTTTTCTCTTTCGGTTTTTTCTTCTCTTTTACTCTTCCTATTTCCTATTTCAAGCAAATTTATTCAGACCCTTTGCTCTTTCTGTTATTTTCTCCTTTTCAATTGACATTTTCTATTTAATATCTTCCATCTCACCCATACAAACGCACATGCGCACAACATAGACATCCGCGCATGCGTATCCAGAGAAGTTTAAACAAGTGTAAACGAAATAAATAAATGAAACATACCATTTTCTGACTTTTTCCTCCAGCTTCGTATCTCAAATGTGAACCATCACTAATGATAAAAAATTAATCCGGTTATTTGAAAGTTATATATATATATATATATATATATATATATATATATATATATATATATATATAAAAAAGAAAAAGAAAAGAAAAAGGAGACGACATCCAGTTCCGTATTTTTAGGTTTCTGAAGATATTTTTTTCTTTGGTTTTATTTTAGACTTCCTTGTCTTGTATTTTTCCTTTATTTATTTATTTTGGTCGTTAGACAATTCTATGTTATAACGAGTCACATTTGATGACAAAGGCTCTTGTAAAGGAACCCTGCTAATTTCAATGGTAGCCTGTAATTAAGAAAAAGACTGGAATGGAAGATGGAGTTTGAGAATGGAACTGGATGGGGATGGGTGTGCAGTGCAACTAAGCGTCGTTGCTATTCTCATAGAAGCACATTTGCATAGAAGGAAAGATTAGTGACTTGATTGGCTGTTTCTCTCGTTTCCGCTCTCTCGTTCACTCTTCATTCCAAGTTTACATTAGCAATGCTACCCTTTTTCACAGACCCACACCCGGCAAGAACCAATTCTTCCTTTCTTTCTTTCTTTCTTTCTTTCTTTCTTTCTTTCTTTGTTAATTATCTATCTATCTATCTATCTATCTTTCTATATCTGTTGAGATCTATCTATCTATCTAACTATCTGTCTGTCTGTCTGTCCGTTTCAAGTCTATCCATATGTATCTATATATCTATCTATCTATCTCAGTGTGTTCATATCAGTCCATATATTTATCTATCTATCTATATCATTCTCTTCATATCTATCTATCTATCTATCTATCTATCTATCTATATATATATATATATATATATATATATATATATATATATGATTATGTCATGATCTGTCCATATGTATGAATGTACGTATGTATGTATGCATTTAAATTTATTTAAAGTTCATCTCCCCATCTCTTACAGACATTCTCTCTCGCCCTCTCTCATTCTGTCTCTCTTTCTTTCTCTCTCTCTCTCTCTCTCCATATATATATATATATATATATATATATATATATATATATATATATATATTATGTGTGTTTTTGTGTAGTTGGGAATATTGGTCTGTTTCTACCTTCCTGAAATGATTATATATAACCTGATCAAATCTATCTAGACACACATACAGACACAGACACAAACATAGACACACACACACAAACACACATATATATACATATTTATATATATATATATATATATATATGTATATGTTTCTATCTATCAACCTATTTGAGCTTGTTCATGTCTGCCTATCAAAGTCTATTTCTATCTATGCATATCTGTCACCCTCTCCCTCTGTCTGTCTGTCTGTCTGTCTGTCTGTCTGTCTGTCTGTCTGTCTCTCTCTCTCATTATATATACAAATATATGAATGTATGTATAGATACTTCTAAAAGCGATACCAAAGGTTTAAAATGAATTTTTAAAAATGAAAAATCTTTCTTGAAGCTTTTATTTTAGTTTTAATTTCAAGTTAATAGATTAAATTTAATATTTCCAATAAACAATCTCCTTTGTTGTATTTGAAAACTAAATTATATTGATTAGAAGATTGATTCTAACGCTATTTTTAACCATCCGTCGTGAGAACATAATTTTTTTAATGTTTCGAATAAACAAAATATTTTCCTGTAATTCATACTGAATTTAAATTGATTGCTATGAATTATTTTATTATCATAAAAAAAACATAAAATCTTCCATATTGACAAATCTGTCAATATGATGTAGTTCTCTTTATTAAAAAATCTCTTGGTTACTCAGGTGAGATTTCTCAAATATCAACCCTGTGGGCCATTTAATGTCAAATGTCAAATATATATATATATATATATATATATATATATATATATATATATATATATATATATATATATGATATGTCCCGAAAGGGATACATTTGAACGAAGTAGCTAAATGGTTTTGGCTACTATAACCAAGTAGAATACGGTAGTAGTAATCGACTGGTACGCGTTGTAGTCGCAGGTAAGAAGTGTTGATCAATGGCGTAGTCCAGTGGGCGTCGTTAGAGACTTAGCTCTCAGAGTAAGGCTCTTGACTCTCCTACACGTCCGTCGGTATTTATGACGGATACCAGCCAATCGTATTCCAGTGAGGGGGAACACAGTTGTATGCATATTCCATTATATCAGTATGATTTGAAAAAGTATAGTTTATAGGTGGTATTGTCTCAAAGACGAGCAGAGCTTATTTGTCCGCATACGCTTAAAAAAAAATTAAATAAAATAAAAATTTGCGAAGGATTAACTGATTTAATGTTTCTTCAATTTGATTTGAAATAAATATTATTTACTTTTATTTTAAAAATCTTTAAAAAAATCTTTATTTAACACGAAGGTTGATGTTACTTTTAGGTGTTAACTTCTTTTAATCGAATTTTAGACTTATTCTATTTTTAGAAAATGAAAGCATTTTTTTCATTATTGGAAATTTTTATACATAAAAGTAACTGTAATGATTACTTGGCGAATATGTAATTTCTTTAATTACCTAATATTTTAAATAATTTAGGGAAACAGATGTTAAAAATTCTGATTTTATAGGCCAATTTATGAAGTCGCTTGTTGAGATGTTAAAATGACGATAACAATATTTTAAACTTTGAAATATAGTTATCGAAAATCTTATTTAGAAAATGATAATATTGTGTTTGGACAGCTATATTTACAAAAAGTCGATACGTTTATACACATAAAATAAATTCAAACTTATTTTTTATATATTTTTAAAATACTGGGGATCCTTGAATTGTAGTGAGACTTTCCATTTCTGATTAGTAGTTTTAATTTGATAACAATATCACGTAACTGCTACAAATTAATACAGAATTTTAAGAGTTAAAAGTTTATAAATTATTCTAAGTAAGATTTTAGAAAATGAAAGCATTTCATGTAAAAGTTCATTATTGATAAAAAAAAGAAGAATAATTTTTTTTCAGAACAATAAGTATACATTTTATACATAAAAAAGTAATTAAAAGAAGACTTTTAATAATAAAATAGGAAGAAGAAGAGTTTTATTTTACGATTCAGAGCAGATTTTCTGTAATTAGGGATGCTGTTTGACTAAACAGATTTCATGATTTACATTCTACTAGGATTTGTAATCATAACTAATATAAATAGTAAGCACTAAAAAAAGATTTAATAATAATAATAATAAGAATTTCAAGAAAATTAATTAACTGGTTGGAAACAGATGTTAAAAATAAACATTTTTATGAAGATTTTATGAAAAGAGAACAAAAATAATTTCATCCATTCGTAAATAAGTCAAATAAGAATAAAAATAAAATAATAAAATGACGATAATAATAATAATAATAATAATAATAATAATAAACTACTAATAAAATAATAATAAGAAAATAATAAGAAGAAGAAGAAAATAAAGAAGAAAATAAAAGAAAATAAAAGAAAATAAAAAAGAAAAAAAGAAAGTAAAAAATGTAAAATAAAATAAGAATAAAACGATAATAATAAAATAATAAAAAGTAAAAAATAATAAGAAGAAGAAAACGGGAAAAAAAAAAAAAAAAATAAGAATAAAACGAAATAATAATAATAATAAGAAGAAGAAGAAGAAGAATAAGACGAATAATAATAAGAAGAAGAAGAAGAAGAAATAATAATAATAATAATAAGAAGAAGAAGAATAATAATAATAATAATAAGAAGAAGAAGAAGACGAATAATAATAATAATAATAATAATAAGAAGAAGAATAATAATAATAAGAAGAAGAATAATAATAATAATAATAATAAGAAGAAATAATAATAATAAAGAAGAAGAAAAGAAGAAGAAGAAGACGAATAATAATAATAATAATAAGAAGAAGAAGAAGAAGAATAATAAATAAGAAGACGAATAATAATAATAAGAAGAATAATAAGAATAAGAAGAAGAATAAGAATAATAATAATAATAATAAGAAGAAGAAGAAGAATAATAATAATAATAATAATAATAATAAGAACGAATAATAATAATAAGAAGAAGAAGAAGAATAATAATAATAATAAGAAGAAGAAGAAGAATAATAATAATAATAATAATAATAATAATAATAAGAAGAATAATAATAATAATAATAAGAAGAAGAAGAAGAATAATAATAATAATAAGAAGAAAGAAAAAAATAATAATAGAAGAAATAATAATAATAAGAAGAAGAAGAAGAATAATAAGAAGAAGAAGAAGAATAATAATAATAATAATAAGAAGAAGAAGAAGAAGAAGACGAATAATAATAATAATAAGAAGAAGAAGACGAATAATAATAATAAGAAGAAGAAAAAGAAGAATAATAAAATAATAATAAGAAGAAGACGAATAATAATAATAATAAGAAGAAGAAGAAATAATAATAATAATAAGAAGAAGAAGAAGAAAGACGAATAATAATAATAAGAAGAAGAAGAAAAGAAGAAATAATAATAATAATAAGAAGAAGAAGAAGAAGAATAATAATAATAATAATAATAAGAAGAAGAAGAAGAAGAAGAATAATAATAATAATAAGAATAAGAAGAAGAAGAAGAAGACGAATAATAATAATAAAATAATAATAATAAGAAGAAGAGACGAATAATAAATAAATAATAAGAAGAAGAAGTAGAAGAAGAAGAATAATAATAATAAGAAGAAGAAGAAAGAAGAAGAAATAATAATAATAATAAGAAGAAGAAGAAGAAGAAGACGAATAATAATAATAATAATAAGAAGAAGAAGAAGAAGAAGACGAATAATAATAATAATAAGAAGAAGAAGAAGAAGAAGAAGACGAATAATAATAATAATAAGAAGAAGAAGAAGAAGAATAATAATAATAATAATAAGAAATAATAATAATAAAATAAAAGAAGAAGACGAATAATAAAGAATAATAAGAAGAAGAAGAAGAAGAAGAAGAATAATAATAATAATAATAAGAAGAAGAAGAAGAAATAATAATAATAATAATAATAAGAAGAAGAAGAAGAAGAAGACGAATAATAATAATAATAAGAAGAAGAATAAGTAATAATAATAATAATAATAAGAAGAAGAAGAAGACGAATAATAATAATAATAAGAAGAAGAAGAAGAAGAAGAATAATAATAATAATAATAAGAAGAAGAAGAAGACGAATAATAATAATAATAAGAAGAAGAAGAAGAAGAAGAAGAAGAAATAATAATAATAAGAAGAAGAAGAAGATCGAATAATAATAAAATAAGAAGAAGAAGAAGACGAATAATAATAATAAGAAGAAAGAAGAAGAAGACGAATAATAATAATAATAAGAAGAAGAAGAAGAAGACGAATAATAATAATAATAATAATAAGAAGAAGACGAATAATAATAATAATAATAATAATAAGAAGAAGAAGAAGAAGAAGAAGAAGGAGAAGACGAATAATAATAATAAGAAGAATAATAATAATAATAATAATAATAAGAAGAAGAAGAAGAAGAAGAATAATAATAATAATAATAATAAGAAGAAGAAGAAGAAGAAATAAGAATAAAATAAAAAAATTGTAATAATAATAATAAGAAGAAGAAGAATAATAATAATAATAAGAAGAAGAAGAAGACGAATAATAATAATAATAATAAGAAGAAAAGAAGAGAAGAAGAAGACGAATAATAATAATAATAATAAGAAGAAAGAAGAATAATAATAATAAGAAGAAGAA